TATTGTTCATTGTATAAAAACAACTACAAGAAGTAGTGAATGAATGTTTTTCACTAGTTTGTTCTACAATTCCAAGGGACCATTCGTTTAGCATAAAGATCTATGAAAAGAATCTTGAAATGCTTTCATAATTGGAGCTTTAATTTATGATTAATTTGGTGTTCTCTTAAGAAGACATAATTGATTTTATGTTTGATATACGATCAGTGAAATAGTCTTTAACACGTTGTTTTAGTAAACAATCAGTATTTTGAGATTATGACGACTTTTGTAATACATAGTTCTATGATTTCAAGGGACGGATTGTCACAAATCCTTTTATTTGATACGACAAAGCAAACACTATGCTTGATAGAACAGTTTGAGACCCCAGTGCTTGCAAATAATCTTCTCATTGAAGCATAGCCATGCATATTCTTTGTTTGCGATTTCGGAAGGGTGGTATTGATCAAAGAAAAGATGAGTGTTTCTGTTAGGACAAGGTACAGAGCTGGGTTGGCATTTGAGATCACCATAAATGGTATTGGGGCAACAAGGTTTCCATGTTTCCACTATCCCTGCAAATAAAAGTAATATTAGCTATTCAAGTGTGCTTATGAAGTTGACTTTAAGATTGAATATAAAACTAAATATTAATGGTTAATCGTAGAACAATATAAAATAACAAATTTTAATGAGATAGATTATTTTAATATTATGTTAAAAAATAGATTTTAAATCTAATTTAACTTTACACAATCAACTTGTAAAATGAAATTTACAGTTATATCGTAAATTAGTTTTATCTCTTGTTATCTGATTATTTCTTATTGAGTAGAGACTTCCAATATATTAAACTAGATCCTTCATATTAACTATTCACAAGTTAGTTTTAATATTTTTTTAAATTGTTTCTTTTAAAACTTTTGCATATTGAAAATGTTTGTAAAGATTTTCTCCAACAAACTTCTGTTGATGATGAATGCATTTTGGTTTCTTCTTACCATAATAACTTCCAATTTTCCGCATTTTCTTAAGGAACCCATAGAGATCTGCATGTATAAAGGTGAAGCCAGGAAGGTTTGATTGGAGCTCATGGAGTACTTCACGCAACTTCTTATTGTAAAAGGTGATCGCTTTGTTTATTTTCTCATCACATTTTCCCATTGGTCTTGTGTGGATAGCTTTTGATGGAAAGCAACCTGCTGGGGGAATGTTGTTCAAGATAAATTTTCTTGCTCCTAGGCCATACATTGTCTGCAAGAAAACAAAGACATGAAATATAAAGAAATAGTCGAAGATTGCATGCTTATTCAAATATGACTAAATCATAATATTTATTTCGATCTTATCTTATAAATGAATATTGTGAAATTGAGTTAGACATTATGATCTCTCCAAATCAAGTTCATTGAGGCTATTATCTGTGTTCTCTTATCCCACTTAAAATCTAACGCTATATTCAACATGTTCATTCTTGCCGGAAAAGTTCTTATGAAAAAATGCAATCAGAAATATTTTTAGTAACTTTGTTGTCAATTCTGTCACATGTAATATTTACCTTGACGCGCATGGTTATTTCACTAAGAAGGAAAAAAGCAAAGCTCTTGTTGCCGCGGAAGGTTCCGTTGTGGAAATAATCATTCACCCCAGTAGAGACGAAAAACAAGGATTCAGAAATATGCTTCTCTAATTCTTCATTCTCAGTGAACATCTTTGGCAAATTATGCGTAATAGTCCTATGGAAGAACTTAATTTGTTTGTCTAGTGTCAAAGACGTATCCTGCAACCAAAAGGGTACATCATGTTAAAGACAAAAAGTACCTGAGTACTGATGAACATCAAAAACAGGTGCGACATTAACTTACGTTGTTGGTATCTGGAAGAACACCAGACCCAGCAGATGCATAATTAATGCCTGTGCTTACTCTGTTCCTTTGATGATTCGAAAGACCCAAGTAGGGAGGGGTTAAGGGTAGTCCTAGATGTATAGCTGCATAAAGAGAAATGACTTAGAAATATTAAAATTGGTAAACGTAATAAATTCAGAAGCAAGTCCTCCTTTACTAATTCTTATAAAATTCAGTTTAAAAATAAGTTGAATTGAAAATCAAACAAGTGGTTCTTATTATGTTATCATACCTTCAGATATTCAAGTAATGTACTTAACTTTGTGGGAAATGAAAAGGTTGTAACAATGAAGAGCAATTTATGAAACAAAGATATATTAGTTGAATCATAAGTACCCAAATGGCAGAGTAATGTTACCAAGGAAATCAGCCACAGTTTTTCCATTTGTTGCTCGTCCGGTAGGCTTGCCGTGCATGAAGTCTATACCATAAGGAAGAAAAGAGGGTCCACCACTAGGAAGATGGTTGTTGTTTCCGCAATCAACAAGAGAGTCACCAAAAACATACAAAGCAGGAATGTGTTTTGTGGGATAGGCTGCTGCTGCTGATGATAAAGGTAAGACCAAAGCTAACACAAACCAAAGGGTGAGATAGCACGTATTCATCTTGAGGCTGTATTTGGTGTAAGTGAAGGCAGAGGTGCTGGAAATGTGGTAAACTCACGAGTTAACTCGTTAACTTCATGAGATCGGATGTGAAATCTGTGGAATCGCGAGTTTGAAAGAAGAAAATGTGAAGCCAAATGGAAGTCCTTTGGAGGGAAAACTCACCTAATTAGGACTCCAATCTTTTGATATTAGGCACCTTCTTCGTTCTCCTGAGCTACATCACCCTTTCGCCATCGCGTCATTCTCTCTGGCTATCGCGCTTGCCGTCGACCATAATCTCGTAGCCGTCCTTGGCCGCGTCACTCTTTGTGCGGAGCTCCCAAACGGAGCCAGCTTCTTCTCCTTTCCAGAAAGGTCGTCGCACCACCGTGAAGCTGTGTTTCCCACCCAACAGTGAGAAGGTGTGAGGAGGCGCAGGAAATGGGATGAAAAATACAGATATCTTTTTATTTGGTACAGAATGAATATTAAAAATATATATATTAACACACTTTTATATTTATTTAATACAAAACATAAGAATTTTTATATTTATTTAACACAATATAAGAGGAAAATATCATAAAAATATAAACTAAAAAAATATTAAAAATAAATAAATAATATTAAATAAAGGTAAAAGAATTAAGTTGGCAGTCTCGTAAAAAATTTGTTATTACAATAATAGTTTGTATACATAGGTTGAATCGTTAAATAATGTAATAATCCAAGAAAACTTTAAATAATTACATTAATTAAATTAATTAATATCCATGAATTAATATTAATGAACTTTTAATAAAGTCTGATAAAGAAAAGTAACGTGGGAAAAAAATTATGCAACGTCATTAATTACGGTGTAATTGTTTTATAAATATAAAAATGAATTTCGTATTCAAATAAGCAATCTAGAAATTGTTTATAATGTATAGTAATAAAAGTTAAATTCCTGGACTTACTTAGGTGTTAGTATGTAAGAAACGGAACTTGTTATTGTTTCAAGGTACAAATTCGATTTGCTGGAATCTGAATCATAAATCACATCCAAAATTTTGCTATGATTTTCTGATGTTTGCTATTTATATGCGGGTTATTTTTTTGTTTTACAAATAATTTTTTTAATTTAAATTTATTTATTTAATAAGTGAATATTTTCAATTATTCAAAAATATATATATAATATTTATTTATGGAAATTAACAATATTAAAATAATTTAAAAATTTTATGTTAATATAAAATTAATATAAGTATTTAATATATTTCAAGTTATATATAACGATTATGAAAATTTCATCTAAACTTTTTTAGTACTTAAATTTGTGTAATTTATAATTTTGAGTAATAATAATAAGTAGTAGTAATTTTAATATTTTTCTAATAAAAAATAATAATATAAATTAACATTGTAATTAATGTGAATATAAATTGATTTCAACATAAATATTAATATTAAATTAAAATGTAAGGAATTAATCATTTTATTAATAGTGTATATTAAAAATAATAATTTAATAATTCAATAATTGAAAATGTTTGTAATTGACAAATATTATTAACTTAAATTTACAATTTTTAATAAATTTGGTATTAACTAGGAGTGTATTATTAAAAATATATTACAAGTATAATCATTTATGATAAAAAAATTTAAATATTGGAATATAATGAGAAATATTACACTTCTTGTATATTTTTAAAAAAAATTGTGCATGGTTTTCCTGAAAATATATAGTATGTATTTTTTATTTAAAAAATTACCAAAATAGGTAAAAAAAAATTAAAAATATATATCAAAATGAATCAAATATGGTGGAAAACACAAGTATACATCTGAATACATTATTTCTTGAAATTTAGTGAAAAAGCCATATATGAAAACAGGAAATTTTTTATTTATTTTTTTAAATCATGCATGATTTCTCAGCGCTGATTCAACTAATAGTACCATAATTGCTCTGAATCTTATAAACTGTTCATATTTTTCTCTAGTTTTATTTATTTAGTTTTGGTTGTGTCTCTATTAAATTTCACGCAGAACAGTTTGAAAGTGTGATTTTTTTAACCATGAAGTTAAAACAAAGAAAATAAAAAGCAAAAGGAAAGATGTGAAAGTAAGCTTGAGTCCTATAAAAAATATTAAAAGACTAAGTCATACTACTGAGATGTGCAATTACGACTTTTTTATTAAATTTAAAAAGTAAATAATTGAAGCAAAACAGCTTGTCTATTTTAGTAATTTTAAAACAAATTACCGTTTTTATAAAAAGAACCTAAGGAATGAGCCAGTGATGGCTAACAATATTTGTGAATACAAGAAGATTATGTTTTCTCTTGGTTTTAATAACAAATATGCAATTTTGCTCTTAATACGACAACAAAAAGATTTAGAGATGTTGGCACTTAAGTAGCTTGATGAAACCACTCTGATAATGACTTTACTTAAGGGAATAATTAATTTTTCACGCCATATGCAAATTCTAGTGTATAGGCTTGTTGGACTTTTTAAAAATATGAGTACTGTACTTAGTTTTACGTGTTTATTGATTCATATCCATTTTGATGAATCTGATTACCCAGACAAAAACAATTACACTGTGTAGAATTCTTTTTCTATCATTAAATTTGTTTTCAAATGTTATTTGTGGCCGAAATGTAAATCATTAATATCATATTTAACCTAAAATTTTTGTTTCTTTTTTGGTTACGGTATAAGCAATTATCATGACAAACCATCAATTCAATTTTGTTATCACTTTTTCATTGAGAGGCAGTTCATTAGACACTTATTGAGAGATTATATATATATATATATATATATAACATTTAATCTTATTATATATTGACATATTTTTAATCTAAAATAGTAAGATATTAAGTTTATGAATTTTTATTTTATATGGTGTATAATTTTGTCATTATTATATGAGACTTAAATTTACATTTGGATTTTTTCCAACAACCTTGCTCCTTCTTATATCTCTCCTTCAAATTTCCAATGTCTCCAATCACTCAATTCATCTAGTTAATCCTTGGTTGAGAATAGACAATAAATGTTATAATGATTGGATCATATGTCATATCTAGTCAATAATCTCTATTTAAAACATTTACATGTATTTTTATTGTTCATAATTTTCGTAAGTGTGTATCCTGATTTAGAGTTTCCTAAGTAGCCATTTGTTACCTTAATCCTTTCTTAGTCATCATTGATCTGTTTTACTAGAACAATATTGCCTATGTGTGAATCCGATTTTATACTATATATCCTATGTTGATTTTAGAGTCGAAGTCATCTCGCGTCCTCGGTCTCCTGTACGTGACCAATATTAATCAGCATAAACTCTATTAATTAGTTTAGATATTTGGATGTTAGATGTCAAGGATAAATTCGTTCACTTTTTTTTTCTTTGTATTTTTTGTTCGTATTAATAAGTTTCACTCTCTTATTTTTTTTCATGTTTTATTCAAAATTTTGTATCTTTAACTAAATTTTAATTGTTTGAGAAATAAATTAAAATATAGGAAGTTTCAAATTTATGTTAACCTTTTAAAGTTTCTATTATAATATTAAATTTCTCATTTTAACATAAGGTACAAAAAGTATGTTAGAACCTAAGGGTAAAAGTACACGTTCTGAGTAAATGTTATGTGTAGAAGAGACAAAGTAAACGTTTAGGTGTAAATGATTTGTATAAATAAGTTAGAATAGACTATCTAAGTGGATTTCATTATTTTATTATTGAAACCCTTGAGTTATAAAAAGAAAAAAACAAGTGATCGAGCTCCATTTTACAAATATTACCTTTGTAAACATATTTATGTTTTCTTCTTCTCGATTCTCTCTAGATTTCTGACCAAGTTGTTCATTCATTTGAAAACCTGAGAGCATCATAGGAGTTTTGGTGTAGATGGCTATCATCCAAACCAATAAGAGACTAAATTAAAGTAAGTTTTTTGAATAATTCAATTCTGTTTAGAAATTGAATGAATGATAATTATTTGATAATTGATGAAAAAAATTAACTATTAATGAACTGGAGAATCAATATTCTTCTTTAATTCGTTTACTCTCATTCTTTGTAGCATTATGTACAACAACCCTCCTTTTAATTTACTAATTTTTTTAAGTTATGCTTCTGCACTCACCTTCCAAATCTGGTTTATTGAGATTGTAATTAAATTCGTTGTCAGACAACTTTGGATTGACTAACTTGTTGACATTGTCTGTCTTTTGAAACTCTATTATAAGGACTGACGAGGTTGTTCAAGATATTTGTGACCTTTGATGAGATGATTTTGGAACATCTTCTTGGAAGGTAACGAAGGAGGTAAGTATTATAGGTTGAGACTCTCTGCGCTATGTATAAATAACATTCTATTAATTTTCCCTTTGAATGAATTAGTTAGGTTCTGACATCATGTTATATTGATGAAACTAGTCTGTTTTAGTAATATAGAAGTCATATATAAAAAGATTTAGAGATAATGAAAATCAGACTAAAAACAATTAAAACAAGATCATTTTCATTTACTAATTGGTTCGATTCACTTACCAAACCAAACATGTAATGTACAACAACCAAGGCTTCAACACTCACTCTCATCATCACTCAAATTCAATGACAAGCAAGCAACCCTTTTCAATTTATTGACAATGGCAAAGATTGACTTCATCACTATGGAAAGAAGAGAAGGAAAACTGACCCCAAAACCCAAAGAAGAAAAAGAAAGGGACTGCAAAGCTTGCATTTTCTTGTTTTTTCTTGCTAGAGTATGCATGTATGGAAAACTGTTGATACAGAAAAGAAAGAGTACAAATTGTGCAAGTAAACTGCTGAATGTTACAAAGAGAAACACCAAAACACATTGTTTAACACACTCTTATAAATACATTCCTTATTATTGATAGGATTCTTTTGCAAAATCACAAAATTGTAAGTCTCACTTTATATATAACGAGTCTTGGAGATTTGTATTTTTGAGTAACATTTAACCAATAATAGAAAATGTTTTATAAAGAGTATGTTAAAAAGTGTGTTGTTAACACTCCTCGAATATGTTACAAATGTCTCCAAGGCCTTTGTGCAAGCCTTACACATTCACTGTGCCTATGACAATCCACAAGATGATCGATTGTCAATCCTGCAGCTTGCATAAAAGAATAAACAATCACAGGACCCAAAAATTGGAAGCCACGCTTTATTAAGTCCTTACTGATCGTATCTGCTTTTGAAGTCCTTAAAGGGACATCTCTTGGATATTTGAATCTGTTAATCACTGGTTTGTGGTTTACATAACCCCATATATAGCAGCTGAATGATCCACATTCCCTCACAATCTGTGGGGTAAAATATGATTAAGTCAAAAGTTTACATAGTCATGTTGATCAAGTCACAGAAAAAACCCAATCACAAAAAAATT